CCCTCCCCCCTACTCTCTCTTCTCCCTCTTCCTACTCCCCTCTCTCTCAGCTGAGAATCTCATTCTTCGAAAGTAATCTCGAAATTGTCATTTTCGATGACAATTCGTCATTTTGAAATGACAATCGGCGATGTTCATTCACTCTTAAAAATATCGGTGTGGATTTTACATATGCAGTGTTTATCGATTATATGTATAATATTCCGTATTACTTTCCGTATTACTTAATATTAACATCAACATGATGAGGATGTAACATGGATTTTAAAATCTATCATGGTATAAACATTAGGGATTTTAAATCATATGATGATGATTAATATTAAGGACAATAGCACTTTTTTAAATTTTCTAGATATTCAGATCCAATGAGCATTTTGTATGAATATTTTATATAACATATGGTATAATGCATAAGCAAATTAATCAAGCAAGATCCTTAATTTTCTTCCTTTCCATGAAATAAGCTTTAAGTCTTAAATCCCATAAGAAATGAACTAATCACAGTTGATTGAAGAATAATCGATTATGATTTGTAATTTCTTACAGCTTAAGTCTAATATTACATTTTTCGTACAAATATTTCAAGCCTATCCTTAAATTTATTAGTAATGACTTATTGAAATCCCATGACACTAATACGATGAGAATTCTATACTGATAGACACCGCATGGTGTTGAATCCATACCGATATTTTTTAGAGTGTTGGATCACGAAGAAATGCGTGTCGATTTATAAAATGTAAAGTCAATCGGACATGTGCTGTAGATGATGCGCTGTATGTGAGCCAGCACAGGTTGTTGATGTGTAAAAATACCATATATTCAGAAATGAAATAATTACAGACCCTTTTCGACCCTTATTATTTGGTCATTTTCAATGTAGTTTTTGAAACATTTAATTGTACAAGTTAAAATGTTTAATAGTCGCTTATAATATTTCATAAGATATAAAAGTTGTTTGTCGTATTTAATTGAATACTCAAACAATTAATATTATCTGCAATATATAATAACATGAAATATAATAAACAAACTTAAAATACTGATATAAAAAAAATTCATTAAAGAACTGAATAAATTTACATTACATATTGACAATGGTCAGATAAATTAGAAACGTGTGTACAGTAAGACATTTCAAAAGAGAGATCAAAACGAAATTGTCATTACTAAGTGGGAAAAAATAATACAATAAATAAAATTAGACGGAAAGTTAAACAATTATACTGACAAAGTATGTTACGCATTAACTATAAAACTTGAAAAAATCATTTTTCTTAAAATGATATAAAGAATCCAATATTTCAATAACCTTTTGTAACTGTAAAATTCAAACCATTCTTTTGTTTCTTAATGTAGAACTCTGAGATTAAACGCTTATTATAATTCTTTTCTTTATCTAAAATTTTGACAGTGTTCTAATCAAAATTATGATTATATTTCAGTCTATGTTCCTTAATAACCGATTAGTATACCTGTTGATGTGATTACGATATTTTGATGCTCTAGTTTTTAATAATCTCTTCTTTTAACCCACATATGAATGTCTGTGAAGCTGGTCCCTCATTTTCATAATTTAAAAAAAATAAGCAGAGTTCTGCTTATCCCCCCAAGAGTTCTAGAGTTTTCTATTAATATTAAAAAGAGTTTCATTGATTAAAGCGATGAAAATACTATTTGAAATTTCGGAGGGACCAAGTTCATGATTCCGAAACATTGAAGGACTATAATTTTTTTACCGTTCATTGTAGAATTATGATCCATATAGAACAATCGATAGAACTCTTTGGGAGACAATTAGAACTCTCAAAAAAATATCGGATTTCCGAAAAAATTTTTTCAAAAAAAAATTTTTTTTTATAACAAAATTTTTTTTTATTTCGGCCTGTTATAAGTTATACTGTTATAAGTTCTGATAGTCCCCGAAGAGAACCATTATCCTCAATAACCGATACGCTGAAACCAATATCTAAAAAGTTCTGGAACTTTAAAGTTTCGACTTTTGAATTTTTCTAAGTTCACGCGGATCAAAATTTTTTTTCGGAAATCCGGCATTTTATTGAGAATTCTGGTAGCTCCCCGAAAAGTTCTGGGAATTTAAATTTTCGAATTTTTACTTAGAGAAATTAAAAACTTAGAGAAATGAAAAAAAATTTTTTTTTGAAAAAATTTTTTCGGAAATCTGGTACTTTTTTTAGAGTTCTGATTGCCCCCCAAAGAGTTCTATCGATTGTTCTATAATATATGGATCATAGTGCTACAATGAATGATAAAAAAGTTATAACTCTTCAATGTTTCGGAATTGTGAACCTCCCCGAAATTTCAAATAGTGTTGTCACTGCTTTAATCGATGGAACTCTTTCTAATATTAAGAGAACTCTAGAATTCTTGGAAGGGCAAGCAGAACTCTGCTTATTTTTTTTTTAATTTTGAAAATGAGGGGCAAGCTTCACAGATGTCACGTATGAAGCATTACAATTCGAACAATTAATTTTATATATTACATTAGAATGTAAAAAATAATGTAATTTATGCTTTTGAACTTTAATAAAATAACTCAATTTATGTAATCT